ATAAAAATACACCGTTAGCGTACCTGATCGCTGAGGCTGTGTTTTGTGCAACTGCACATTCGACAAAGCGTTTGGAGTACTCGAGCACAGAGATTGTCCTGCTTGTTTTGCATCAACGTCTTGCAGTGCTGGATCAACCTATACGGAAGCATTTTAACGAGATCCACTTTACTCTATAGCTATTACGGTATCTTTTACCGATCTATTTTATATGGAATAAGTAGAACTGCACCCAAACAAGGCCATAAAGTCTCGCGGTAAAAGTCTTGAAGAAGGGGGTTTTGCTACTCTATCTCTCTTTGTCATGGCTACGTGAAAAGGGTCTTTTCAAGGTGAATTATCGGATTTTTGTCTAATCCTTATAGTAAATACTCTGAACTAATTTCTATTTTCTAAATCTAGCTCTGTCAACTGTCTGTGACTTTACAATCTGCCCCCCCCCCCCATCATTCTGCCAAAGAGAATCTTGTCGAATACATCGCCGTGACATACATTTCCTCTTATACTGAGACATTTTTCGCAGAATATGTTCACGATCTGGCTTTAATTACCGAGTTGTTTATTTTTACTTCAAAGCACCCACTTGGTGACCACGGCACCTTTGGCGCATTGCTCGCGTAGTGCTGAGCCGACGGGGAACAGTAAATCCGGTGTGTGTAGCACGTCAACGAGCACGCTTCCTTCAGCAGAATGCAATGGCAGCAAATAGAATTTAAACTCGCCTATCATCATCTGAAAACCAAGAGTGAATAAGGCTTTTTCGAGGGACGTCCCGCCAAGAATGAATTAAAGGCAAGATTCGGGATAAAATAGGTGTGGAAAAGCGTTCAGTTATGAAGCTAGAGGTGGGAGGTGGTCTGGAAAAGAGAAGGAAAGCAAACGAAACCACCGATTACGCCCCGCACAGAGACCTCCCCTATTTCAGCCGCATTCCACCTTGGGATAGAGAAGGGGCGCGTTGGACGAGTTTCACGAACCTAACTCTAGTTGCTCCAGTGCCAATGACATTGGATCGCAATGGGACCGCTGCCTCAAATGCGCCCGCGCTTTTCAAGCAGCGCCACGTGGCAACCGACAGCGGAGGGTGGGGCTTGCGGACGAAGGTGTGAGTTGCGGGCAGGGTCAACCCTACGTTGTTACGAGTAACAACGGGGGGTCGTACCTGGTTGAGTTTGTAGGAGGGGGGGTCGTACCCACTTTAGTCGCTCGAAATCACGTGTGGGATTGAGGTGAAACTAAGATTTTATACCCCCCCCCTAGAAAAGGAAGTAGTGGGGTATAAAAATGGGTTGAAATGGTGGAAATAGAAGGAAATTTTCGGAGATATTTACCGTTTCAGAGTGACTATATACCCCCCGCTCGACGGCATTTTTGGAGGAAAAAAGTGGGCGGGGTTTTGATGGAAGATGGAGATGGTGGAGGTAGGGAAAAGGCGTGTTCCCGGAGCGTGTCTTTATCCAATGATACGGTGAAGAGAAGGAGTCCAACATTGAGCAGGGCGCCGATGGTAGGGCGGTCTCCGCCCATACGATCAGTGTGCAATCAATCTGTGTTTTAGTGGGGTATTTTTACCAGTTTCCTTTGCTTTCTTCAATTCTCACTGACCAACTGCCAACCCTATTTTCATTTTCGGGCACGATGACCCGAACATAGGCAACTGCATGATGTAAGAATCAGTCGAACATCGTGTTGAAATATAATATTAGGATGGTAAGAAAGTCCTGAGCCGTTTGACACTTTTTTGTGCTTTGCTTTTTTATTCCGCGTACAATGGAATCTACTACTCAACAATATAATCACCATTGTTACTCACTACAGAGTCCCACCTAATGGGCAGGTCAGCGACCCCCTTCTCCCAGAACTGAGCAGACTGAGAATCGAATTTTTTCTTCGCCAGGAATGCCTTGAGGGGAATGAAATAAGTGGTAGTCAGAGAGGGCAATGTCGCTGGAATAGAATGGGTGGGAAACTGCGTCCCAACCCAGCTCTTCCAAATTTTGCACGGTCTCTTTAGCTATGTGGGGCCTGGCGTTCATCATTTCATTTATTTACTGTTGAATCACATATAGGTAATGACACAGCTGCAGCCTCTTATTTCACAACCGATTGACTTCACTTCTAGACTAGGATTTTTCTCAAACAGCGTCGCTAGTTTCTGGAGCTGACTGGCGTAAATGCTGCCGGTAACGGTATGCCCTTGCGGGAGCAGCTCATAATACAACATTCCTCACGAATCCCAGATACAGCAAAGAAGCCAGTTTTTGGGGTGAAAGTCCGATTTTGCTTTGTAGTACGGCGGTCTTCCCTCTTTGAGGAGCTCAGCACGCAAACTGTGCCTGTTAGAATCGTAGAGGACCCAACTCTCATCTCTCGTAATCATGCCCTTCCAAAAACTCCTTTCGGTGCGAACGAAGGAAGAAACTGACAAATGGGTATCCGCCTGAACCGCGTGCTATCGGTCAAGACATGAGGGAATCCATCGAGTCAGCACTTTCCTGTGGCGAGGGCGTGGAGGGGACCGAGGACTGTGGGATGGGTGCACCCGAGTCTTGTCACAAGGCTGCGGGTGCTAACCTCCGGATCCTCTTCGACAGCGCCGAGAACGGTGGAGTCTCCCACTGTTTGGGACTCTCCAACCTTGACTTGTTTTGAGAAGCCGTGTCTCCTCCTTTGAAGCCTGCGAACGCTAAATTTGGCACTGGTGTGGAAGTGTTTCCTTTCGAACGCGTCCTGCTGATGATTGGTCAGATGGCCACTGAGCTTCTGTGCCGCAACGCCATTGAAGATGATCGCTCGAAAGTGCTTCTTGTGGAATCGCCATCATGATTAAAGTTAAAGAAGGCAACCCGGCAATATATACCTACTGCGGAGAAGTATGATCGACAGCGATAGTCTATCACGTAGCAGATTCTAGGTATCGATCAATAAGCGAAAGTTCTGGAGCTTTCGAAAAATCGGCTCAGGACTTTCTTACCATCCCAAGTACATTGTCGTGAATTAGCAGGGGATGGCAAAATGAGATTAACGGAAAAAGGAAGGAAAATCGAGCACACTTTTCATAGATTTGATCGGTTAAATAATGCAAACCTCAAAAACCTCACGTGATAGCATGTGACGACGTTGGCCACTTTCTCGGTTTGATGCAGTGAATTAGGCAAACCGGGCATCATCAATGAATTGGCGCGATTCCTTACGGCAAGGGAATGCTGAGAAGCATGCATGGAATTTTTTTTAGGAAAAAAAAAAAGTTAGACTTCCATATTTTCTAGTTTTAGTGATAAAATGAAAAAGTGAAGATCTGTTAAGGGAATGATTTAAGAGGTATTGAAATGAGGTAAGGTATATTTTGGTACCGAAATATTTTTGTTAGTCGGTTGGATGAGGGAAGAGAGTTACGGGCCTTCGTCACAAAAAAAATAAAATTTTATTTTATAACTGAAACGATTTTCTAGCACTTTGATTTATTGATTGAGTGGTCAATGTCTCCGTTGGTCGGCGGCCAAGATTGATATGGCCGATGTCATAGTTTGCGAATCGATTGAGCGATTCGCTGCGAATCGAGCGATTCGCTAGCGAATCGCTCGATCCGAGCGTTGCGCCAGCGAATCGAACGTTGCACCAGCGAATCGAACTTTGCGCCAGCGAGTCGAACGATGTACCAGCGAGTCGAACTAGGTACCAGCGACTCAATAGTGGCGGGACCCAACTTTTAAAGGAAGCCCGCCACTTTCAAACAGTGTCACGTGACAGTGGACGCTGTTTGAAAGTGGCGGGACTTGACAGTGGACACTGTTTGAAAGTGGCGGGCTTCCTTTGAAAGTTGGGTCCCGCCACTATTGAGTCGCTGGTACCTAGTTCGACTCGCTGGTACATCGTTCGACTCGCTGGCGCAAAGTTCGATTCGCTGGTGCAACGTTCGATTCGCTGGCGCAACGCTCGGATCCAGCGATTCGCTAGCGAATCGCTCGATTCGCAAACTATGACATCGGCCTTAAGGAATCGAGAGTAGGCCAACGGCCCGCAGTTTCTCTCAGCCCATTACATTCGATACTGAGACTTCTCCTATACGGTACAGCGACTCTTGCGGTCACTTGTTCATATTCTTTTATGATCACGCAGCACATTCTACTAGTACTGGCCTCCACTAACTCTTAAGGGTCTCATCCAGTAAGGGGGGCATCAAGTGGCTGCCCTCACCCCCACCCCCTAGACTGCCTACACTCCCCTGGCGCACAGGTTTCTTGAAGTACGGGACCCCGTAAGCCAGGGGGAGTGAAGGCAGTCTAGGGGGTGGGGGTGAGGGCAGCCACTTGACGTTGCATCACAATGCCCCCCCCCCTTACTGGATGAGACCCCTTTTAAAGTTTCTCTCGTTGTTTACAATACTGTTTCGTTACTTATTCTGTTGCTTACCTGATGACATAGTAAAGGTTTGATTATCCAAGTTTGAGATCTGACGCCCGCGTAGCACGACACATACAAGCACACAAGGGTTCGATCACCGCAACTTTTTCAGAAATTTCAAATCAAACGCAAGGGTTCTGCGTATGCCTCTTTCCCCGCTTAGCTTTACGCCGCAACACCGTGGCCACCCACTTCAGTCGCCCGCGACATTTCGGCAGAGCCCCACGTCCCCATACCCATGTTTTCGAAAACAGTCAATATCCATGCTTTGCACTATCGCAGCCGAACGAAGCTTAGCATACCTGGCTGATGAATCTGGCGGAATTCGCGGCGCATTGCCAACGTTGTTTCACTGTCGGAGCCGACGAGAAGGGCGGCATCGTTATACTGGCTGGCACGGAAATCTTATTCTCCTCGGCTGGAAATCGTCATTAGTTTACAGAACCAACAGTAGCATGCACCGCTGGTTGAGAAATCCCAGACTCCGCTTAGATATAGCGTTCAGGTTGAAAATTACCCCATTTCCTGAGCCTCTTGATGCACTGATCCACTCTGTACCAGTGCTTCGGTGACTGTGATCTCTTCAGGCAACTGGAGTGAAGCACACTGAGCTGCTGCAGTATCGCTGTGAACATCTTCTTGTGAGCCTGAAATATGCCTCAAAAGGTCTGTCCTTTAAGGTCCTCTAGCAGCTACACATGTAAGGTTTGTCTAAAAAACATTTAGCATTACTCGAAAGCTTTTAAGGTTAGAAATACTGCTAAGAAACACTGCGACTATGCAAAACTTTAAAGCAACAACCCTAGATGGATTCATACTTTTGCTACAAATGGAGTGAAAAAATGCTCCAGGCGAGAACACATAAAGTGTCGCTGAAACAAAAACTGAACTTGGGAAGCGGCTTCGAGGAATTGGATAAATGCCAATTTTGGTCCGTCCTTCTTTTGATCGACCCATTTGCCAGCCGCAGAAATCGCGTGATTGGCTGCGTGGCCAATGCGTAGCGGCTAATACAAATACGCGCGGTTAGTGGAGCCGTGGAGCAAGCAAGTTCGGAAAACTCGTCCGGCCCCGCCCTTTCATTTCAAAAAGATGGGGAGTGAATACTTGTTAATGGCGTTATTGACGGCTTTTCTCTGGTTGTTAGCTAGCGCATAGCTAGCTCAGCATCCATTTTTTTACTATACTGTTACTCCAGGGCCTCCTTCGGCAGTGGTAGCGCCCTGGTACCGCCACACTTTGATCTGGAATTGGTTGCTTCATAGGGGAGGCTTATAACAACGCAATCAGTTGCTAGGCTTGGGTTACACAAATACGTGCATATGCAAAGTGGATATCGAATTTCAGCAGCAATTCGCTTGTTTTTGATTAACTTCACATTGTTCTCTCTGATACGCTTTTGGACGCGTCTATCTGCGGCGGGGAAAAGGGCAGGGAGCTAGTAGTTGGGTATTTGCATATCAGAAACGATGTGCAGGTAAATGGGCGCTGGGTTAAAGTTTGTGCTGAGAGAAGAGGGAAAGTGAGAGGTGGTTCGCTGGAGGTCAGCCCCGTCTTCCACCGAACTCACTTCAAGTCACTTCACCCTCCACCGTTGTAGAAGTTGGTTAGAAATGGTTTCGAGCAAAAGGGATAGGGGGTGCAGCTCACATGTATGTCCACCTTAGCTTGTTCGCTGTAGGGTTTTTCGAAGAATTTCAGCAGAATTTCCGTAACCGTTAGACAAATGTACTGTTCCAGTACTGCAGTGTTAGGTGACGAGTTGGTCGATGACAATTCGTATGAAGCTGAAATGAGACGAATGTAAAAGTATTGATCGGTTTTTTGGACGAGTTGTCGCGTCGTTGATCAGACCTTTTGAACATCTACCAGCATGTTGTGCAATAGTGAGTCCACATATTCCGGTTTATAGGCGTCTTTCATCTCTGCGTCTGTGTCGATATAGCAGTGAAGGAGAAATTGGAAATATGGCACCTAATTTTAAATTGGACAATGGATTACCTCAAAATTGTAATATTGTTGAACAATATTGGAAACCCTGGGTACCAGAGTCAACTGTCCTTTGGAAAGAGATCAACGACTAGGTTGCATTTGCAAATTCTCAAGGAGTAGGGGAGTTTCACCCCCCCCCCCCTTGTGGATTGGACACTGTATTTGGAAGACGGGGACAAGCGTTTTTTTCATTGAAAAAAATGGGATCCTCCTACAACAGAAAAATTCCCGAAAATTTTCCACAAATTTCGCCGTTTCACAGTTTGTAGATATCTGTTTGTCGAGCCCGGACCAGCTCATTCTCTGCGGCTTGATGTTCCCGAGGTATGGAGATGGAATACGGGGAACTTGGAAGGTTTCCCAAAAAAAAGACTATAAAGTACCGGGCTCAAAGAATTGATCACAACGCATCACGGTGCCCTGCTGGGCCGTTGGCGTGCACGAACCTACGATTAGGACACAGATGGGAGAGGTGACAACTCCGTACGATGTGGTCCATCAGGGATTCTCGAACGCCCACACTTCAAACTCTGTGCTACCCATTTATAGCACGAAGTAGCTATAAGTGCAGAGATAATCTAGAAAAAATATCGTGAAAAGCACATTTGAATCGTAACAATGAGTGAGTGAACTACTAGTGACACGCGCGGTCGCGTTGCGGAAACGAGACATGTCGGTCATGAGTGCAAATCGGGTAAACTTATGCGAGTATTCTCCTAAGTCAATTATAAAAAAATAAAAAAAAAATAAAATCACAGAAGCAACCGATTACAGGAAGTATGCATTTGAGATTCGTGAACACCGCAACGCGACCGCACGTGCATCTCCTGTCAGCCACATGTATTGCGATTTTACTAGCGAAAATGCCTGACCTGACCAGTTCTATATGGTATTTCAGTGGATGTGAACTGTCCAAATACGGTGGTGCTTGTTGCATCATTTGCTCCAGCTGTTCGAACGATGCATTATCGACATAGAGCGCTCGAACCTCATCTGATGCTGAGCAAATCTGAAAAATTTGGGATTTTTTTGAGACATTGGTCCATTGGTCCATTTGCCACCATTCTAGAACAAAAACCTAGGTGTGAAAGCATTAGGCTATATCGCACGTACCTAAGAATGTCTGGGCCTAAGAAATCTACAGTAATCAAGAACTAGTGATCTGGACGGATTCAGTCTAATAGGCTGTTATGCAAAAGCTAAAACTCACTTCAGTGGCCACCTTGTCCTGGCTGGTTTCGATCTCTTTGTTATGGATGCAGACCAACGATTGGAGCAGTTCCAAGAACACAGCGTTACGAGACTAAATTTATGGTTGGGTTCCTTTCAGAAAGGTCTACACATCAGTCGACACATAATTTTTTTCCTATTTTAGAGCCTTAGTAAGCATCCAAACAGTCGACTTTGCTAGAAATGGAGATATAATAGGTTCGAAAGCAATATTCATAGCTTTACGCGCTCTGTATATTTAGCTCTGGTACGACATTGTGCATCCGCGATAAAAAACTTCCTTGAACCACACTTAATGATACAAATCTTCAGTTTCCTTAGGCCGCGTTCATAGTTCGCGACTCCGGAGATTAGGATAGTACGCGACAATGAAAAACATATGTATTGACGGGGAGATTAGGATAGTAGTAGATTAGGATAGTAGTAGAGTAGGAGATTGCGCTGACAAGATTAGATACGTATCGATTGAAATCGCCGGAGAGTAGTAGATTGCGATATTACGATAGTAGGATAGTAGTAGAGTAGGAGATTATGGATAGGATATTAGTTAAGTAGAGATTAGGATAGTAGTAGATTAGGATAGTGCGCTGACAAGATTAGATATGTATTGATCTATTCGCTTGAAGTCGCCCAATCTACTACTCTCCAGCGATTTCAATCGATACGTATCCAATCTTGTCAGCGCAATCTCCTACTCTACTACTATCCTAATATCCTGTCGCCTACTATCCTAATCTCCCGAGTCGCGAACTATGAACGCGGCCTAACGGTTTTCGCCCATAACTCAGACCCCGCCCTTGACCGAAGTCATTGTTGTTCATATAATTTCATCAAAATTAATTTCAATTTTTTTAGAGAACCGCGTTAGGGCTGCCTTGGTGGGCGCTTTTGCTGTAATTCAAGAGATAAAATATTGAGTAGCAGAACTAAAAAGTATATCTGACCTTGTGCTCAATGAGGTTGACAATATGAGCGATAAGATCCTCAGAAACGTTGCTGGCTAGCTCTCTGTTATTTCGGAATATCGCGCACCAGAGTAGCAGCTTCTTCCACCTAAAATTCAAGAAATAATGGGTTTTCTTATGTTTGTAGTCTCCAACAGTTATCGAGGCTCCGCATAAGGCCGATGTCAGACTTTGCGAATCGCGCGATTCGCTAGCGTCCGCGGTCGCGTTGCGGTACCAGCCAATTGAGTGATTCACTGGCCGCGACGCGACCGCAGACGCTAGCGAATCGCGCGATTCGCAAAGTCTGACATCGGCCTAAAAGTTCGCCACAACGCTACTCGCCCTATTCTACCGAGAGATTTGACAACCTCAGATGTATCGTTGAGGACAAATATGTTACACATAAGGACTCCCAAAGAAAGAGTGATCTGCAAAGTTTCCATTCGGAGGAACATTCATTCATTCAGTCCCGGAGGCTCTTCAGTGAGGCTGGGACTGAAAGAATAAGAGAGATGGGTGAGGGTGTATATTAATACGTAGTAAACTAGTAAACAAAGACTTAACAAATGAAGGCTGAGTCAGGCTCGAGGTAACTATGTACTAGACTGTGGGAACCGCTCCTGTCCACTATATGAAGAACAAGTCTGACTTACCGTCTCTACCTCAACATCCCTTCTTTAGCGTCTTTTTCAATGCTGATGAATTTGTGCAGACGGCTCTGGTTCTCCTTGTTTCCTTTACAGAAACTACGAAGAAATTCGTGCGACAGCGTGATCAATCGTGGCATTTCGAAATCGTTTTTCTAAATAATAAATAACAGTGAATTCAGTGACCAGCCATTCAAAGAAGGCTCCACGATCAGTTGGGTGGGCCGCATAGCCCCCCCACACCGCCCCGAACTCGCAAAGAGACAACTTGTAACATTATAGGCTCAAGAAAAACGCCCTAGATAAGATTAATTAAGATTAAATTGGCTATCAGTGCAGCGTTAGCCGCTTTCCAGCCCCTAGCCCTGGGGCCCTCCGGACGGCTTTCCAGCCCTAGCCCTGCCCTCGAAAGAAACGTAGTAAACAGGACTTGCGGTCAAGCTACGACGCTCATTTCTTCTTGAAATTCGGCACGGAGTACCCGACTTAGAACCTCTGGTTTTGTTTATTTACCGCTAAGGATAAACCCAGCGCTGTCTTGGTAATGGAGAAGGAACTCCAAAAACCTGCTTTGTCGTGGGCAGTGCTTCGGAATTCAACCTACCTTATCATATGGAATACTCAAAAATTCCAAGCGCACACTTCATTAGACTCGCCATATTCATTTCAACACAACTGCTGATTCATACGCAATACTGGTCGAGCTTTCTTGCTATGCAAAGATTCTTCAAATCGAACCAAAATCTGTAAAAATCGATATATCGATTGAGCCGTCAGTTTTTGGATTAGAGACCTCTGACATACCTGTCTGATAAGAGGATATGCAATCAGTGGTGTGCGATCACTAAGCTCCTGAAGAGCGACAGCAGCCAGATTACGATCTTCGCTGATCAACAGCTGGAATGGGTATTGATTGAATTGTTTTTTTTTCAAAGGAAAAAAAAAAACTACAGGAACCCAAACACAAAGAGAATCCGCGAGAATACCGTCGTATGGAAGGGGCTTCGTGGTGAGACCTTTCTGAGTAAATCACGAAAAAACTGAGAGGAAGAGGGGTTTGAGTATTAGGCAGCGTTCATACTCTGCGATACTTGTCTGTCACGGAGCATGAACGTTGATGCGTGTGTAATAATGCCCTACTGTGAATCAACAGATGTAGCGGCTACCATGGCGAGCCCCCTTTTTTTTGGCCGGAATTTTTCTCAAGGAATGTATAGTGTATTTATATGTGAGTGTATTTATATTCTGGAATGTACCCTCTCTTCTCTCCCTTCTCATATCCCTGATGGCAGACCTTTTGGATACAGAACTACGACAAGCGAGACTCGATGCCACTAATGGCAAGGATGCTCCGGGGGATATCGGTCAGGTTGATCCAGAAACTTATGGCTGACCCTGAGCAGCGGTCCCAGATCTCACAACAACAACTTGGGGCCATTTAAAGCGGTTCACATTAAACCCCAACCGTACCTGATTCAATAGTCGAAGGCAGTCCTTTCGTGAGCCCACGTAGTGCTCGTCGATGATATCAACAACAGCCTTCATAATCTCATCAGTGGCGAAGCCTTTTGGAGTGATCAGTGAGTGTTCTTCGAAGTCCATTTTTGTCCTGAACTATTGCATTTAGCACTAGGAAGGCTAAATACTGCACCAATAGGGGTATGAACCAAGTGCAAGCACTTAGGTAACTCAGGAATAGCCTTAGAGGTAACACACATGGAAGATGGAAGTCGAACAACGTGGCTGATTTTGAACTCCTTCTCGAGCATAATAAAAAAGGAGACCAAGTGGATGAACCTAGCTCAACCCTTACCCAGGGTAAGAGTTCACTTACAAGACGAAAAGGAGCTAATCAGCCACGTAACCCGACTTCAGGCCTTGCATGCTAGCATTCCTCCTATCACCACAACATAAGTATAGACGTGAAACCACGACCACATAACGATTAAAACCTTAACCAATCGTTCTTTCTCTTCTTATCTGATTTATCTCGCCACTCATGTACTTGATGGATGATGCTCAGAATTCTTTCCATTCTAAGCCCACTAAAACAAAGGCACATATGACAACTTGTCAGAAAGGAAGACAAATACTATGAGGATAGTCGCACCAATTGCGGGTACCCTACAAGAGGCCCGTCGCGCGGCAAGAAGGCAGAGTCGGCGGGCGAGTCGCAGCGCATACTGTAGTGATTTCGCGTCAAGTTTCGCGACTCGCCAGCTGATTCTGCCTTCTTTCTGCGCGACGCTACTCCTGTCGAAACCCACCAATTGCAGGCTGCGCTCTATGCTGTGCTACGGTCGCGTCAATAGAGCGCGCTACGAAATGGGCGTTCAAAGTAGAGGTGCACGAAAGTGGCAAGAGTTAGACCTTTAAATATGAATAATTTTCTATTTTCCACGAGAACTTCTGCTGCAGCTTTCTCCTCAAGCCGAAAGCTTTCAAGTGTAAGAGGTGGAGCAGTGAAACTCGAGGAATGGATGTCAACTGATAAGAAGATCAGGGATCTGGGGCAGCAATGCTTATCTTGTCGAATTTGTATTACAACTTTCAGCGAAAGATAGCCCCTCTGAGGACTAGCATAGCCAATTGAGGCATTTTCTAGACTTTGCAGAACTTCAAGGCACAATCCACGATCAAATTAGTGAGGTCATTCCGCCTAGATAAGAAAGTCAGAGCGCCAGTAAGACCTGCAGTGAGGACAAAAGGAAAAGATATCGTCGTGATCAATGAAAACAAGCCCCATACCGTGAAGGAATCTAAGAGGTAGACAGCGATATATGAAGCAGTGGGTATCCGTCGACGGAGAGATCTGACAGAGGATACGGAGAAGATTGTGCGGAGCTGATGCATAGACCCTCAACAAAGGCGTGCATTGATCTATGTGCGACGTGTTGCTAGTCTATGCCAAACCCCTGCGCATTTCAAGTGTTCTAGCGCGAGTAAGCAACACCTCCGCAACTGAAGACCAGCATACATTATACGACGTGTACCATGGAATTGGTGGCTGACTGCCTAAAGCAGGGTCAACCGTCCGTTGGACAAAGTCCAACGCGACGACGAGAGTAATGCCGAGAGTGAACGTACGCACGGAGACACAGACGGCTCGCGGGTGGCGAGAGTGAATGCCGGCGCGGAGAGCGGTGAACATCGGTCCAACGTCGCTCCAATATCGGTCCAACGTAACGGTTGACCCTGCTTAGGAGCACGGGTCGCGCGGCATGAAAGAGCCAGTCTCTCCTAGAGTAGAGACGAGGGCCCTAGCCTAGCGAGTAGGCGATATTGTCCCTACACAAAAGCCGCAGCAAGAGCCCTAAGGCCATGCCTTGTCCATCGCCAGAGTTGATTTTCTTACCGACTGCAGCATACCTGACGTCTGCGCCCTCTGGCTACAATGTGCTCTCTCACGTCTTTTCGTCTCCTTGAAGCGCTGTGTCTCTCCCCCACACCCGGGCAACATCACAAGGGAAAATTCAGTGTTCTGAAGCACGTTCTGCTTTTCTCCACTGAAGTTGATCATCGCACTTCTTGTCTGATTTTTGAACAAAATAACGCAGCAATCCGATCCCGACCCGTGGCTTTAAGTGACGGTGTCTTTATTTTGCAGCAGTTTCAGAACTAATAGATCGTGTGGAAAGTAGCTCCATCAATCTAAGAGCTTCAGAGTATCATCATCTTTGAAAGCAGTTCCAGTAGGAGTCACTTAGTGGAAGTAGAAAAATTCACAATTTCAAGGGGTGTTTTATCAATCTGCAGCGCGCTTCACATCAAGAAAGAGAAGAATAAGAAAAGAACCGGCGCGCGTACGCGAAGCTGACTGTTTTGGCGACCACAACTCTGCAGGGATAGATTTTCCTGGGATTTTGCCAACTTTTGCTCCATCTTCTTTTCCCAGTAGTATGGGCCCGTGTATGATAAGATAAACCAAAAGCCTACCTTGTCGTTTTTAATGAACCATTTAAGTCGCCCATTCGGCCTTAAAGGAATCTTCCACGGACCATGGACCAGTGGGCGGGACCGGAAGTGGTTTTGCGACGAAATGCATGGTAGGTACGGATCCACGTTCATGGGAAGGTTTGAAGTGAATCCTGTTCACGTTCGTGCGTTCGACACGTGGATCCGTACCTACCATGCATTTCGTCACAAAAACTTCCGGTCCCGCCCACTGGTCCATGGTCCGTGGAAGATTCCTTTAATCCCGTTCGTTCAGTGTCCAGTGAGGTATCTTTTATAGATGAAGGATCTGCGAACTCTCTGCCGCTGAACTGGTGCGAATGGCATCTCTTCGACATTGGTAGGCAACGCGTACGCGCGCCAGGAACTTCTATTGCTAAGCTAGCACCACAGATTACAGGGCGGTTACAAATTACGATAACGAAGAGTTCTCGCTGGGTCCTCGAAACATCGATGAGTTCTACGAATTGCCTCAGAAATCCCGAGGCGATCATGACGCCACCCAGTACGCAGTACGTTCCCCCGAAAAGCTTCGCTTGTATGTATGTCACCACAGAGGGCAGCCACTTCAAGAAGTCACGTTGCTCTCCTGCTTGGTGTCCCCCATAAAAATAGCCACTGTAGCGAACTCAAGTTTTTATGAGGTATTGCTTCCTCATGAATTCCTCAACTCCTTACCGTAATCTGTCGCCACCCTGTGTAGCTCCAGTACGACCCATACATCGGCTAAGGCCACGTACCGAGTTATCAACAACTCGGCAGTTCTGGCTATACAGCCACCACACTACTTACTCATACTTCAATGGTACTACATAGATAGTACGGATTGACACACTGACAAAACAGCGCCTTTTTATTTTTGACCGCATGAGAGAGGCTCAACCTTGTGAGTGCGATTGCCGTGGTTCGGTGTTGAATCACGGTGTCCCCATCAGATAAAAGGCGGGTTTTCTGGGACTCACAAATGAAACGAATTTGAAGCAAGTTTGCACATATCACAGAATAACTCATGAAAAGTCCGGAAGGCAATCGCACACGCGAAAATGTTTTGTATGGGTTGTGATGCGATATCGTATCACGCTCATGTGTCCCTTTTTTGTCCCACACGGCGTACAAGGTGTAACCTGGCGGAGCACCACGTCTCGTCAGTGTGCTAATTCGCCTATCAACTCAGATTGCGATCAATACGTATCTAAAACATTGCCGCCAAATCGCAGAAATGCAACTCGGCAGTCGTTTATAGCAAAGCCAGCGATGACGTAGCGTAGTTCATGTTGACGGTACGCCTTCTTTACTAGTAGGATTATTCAGAATTATTCAGAGATATAGTAACTTTCGAGCGTGGGGTGAAGTTAGCTAACAATCAACTTCAGAGGAATTATTTCAAACTACCACTATTCAGGCTCACGTTTTGTCATGCTCTTGATCTTTCCCGTCCATGGAATGATGCCGATCGCCATGGACCCAGAGCTCGGACTTTTCTGTGAGATTCTTCAGAATGAACAGATCCCGATCGACTTGTCGATAGTTTTCCACATCATCCGACGACACGAGCAATTGAACCTTGAAGAGTTACTCTTAGGAAAGACTTCGTGAGCACTCACTCATGGCCCAGCAGTGAATGAGATTGAGAGCCTCAAAATTATCTAGAAACTCTGCAGAAGCGTTGGAAAATAAAATATGAAAGCGTCGAACCTGTTTCAAGTCGTCCAGTAGCTCTTGATATTGAGTGAAATGTCGAAAGAGCACCTTCAAGGCGATGCTGGTCAAAGGCGGATAGTCAGACATGGTCATCTAAAAGAAACCATTGACTTTCAGGATTTCTCCTAAAGCTTATAAATGTTTGTAGTAAACGAGAGTAAAGTATGAAGCAGTGCATCAGCAAGTCCCACCAGGAACCTCTAAAAAGGCCACAAGCGCGAGACAGGGCTATTCTTTTCTAGGCATGGTCCGAACCCTTGTCTGCTGAGTTAGTTGTTATTATGTCTCGTCCTGAGCGGTCGTCGGTGTTCTGACTGCGCCAGTTGCCATACCAATGGTTATGGGGAGGGGACTTATGTCGTTGGGCAGGGGTAACATCGCGTGAAGTCTGCGTGAAACATTAAAATTAGTGACACCTGAGACTAAGCCTTAGGAAGGAGAAGGGATTCTGCAGGAAGAAGCTAGCAATTTTTGTTTTCCCTGGCGTTTCACCCCTCTTCTCGGCTCCCTTCTAGCGTCAGCTCATCGCGGTTTTCAAAAGCCCTGCTTTGAATCTCTCCCTCCCCCAAGGCCGTGGGCGCTGTTATAGGGTTCTTCGCTTGAAGGTGAAAAAAGTTATAGCAATTGGTCCACATCAGTGAGAGTCTCCAAAAAAATCGTTATGAACTTCTGAAATGATTAAAGGCAATGCCCAGATCCACGACTATCTGTTTGGCTCTTGTGTACACACTGGCGAATGATTGATGAGGAAGTGGGCCCGAGGCACGTTAAGAAAAAATGGCATATAGAATTCGTGAACATAACGATGCTTGTGTGTTAGTAAGCCTCACTCACCTTCCTAATTCGAGCTGTGGCATAAGGAAATGAGAGACTACACGCGGAGAGGAGAGTCTGAAGAGCGTACGAAAGCGTTACAGATTGAGAGAATTGCCCGGAGCACAAATCACGACGCTGATAAAGCGGAAAAAAAGTCCTGACGAGTGCTTGGGCAGCATTACTTTTGTGGCAAGGCGGACAAGCGCTTCTTACAGTCGTTTCCCGTGCAGACGAGAAGCACAGTGTGATTGGCTTCCTAGGGGTCTACTACTTCAGGCTAGAAGAGAAGTGCAATTCCACAACGAACCTCTGCCTGGATTCTGCCTTTACATGCAGGGCTTGCGCTCCACGCTCTTGTGTGAAACTTAAGATGTTGCCGGTATATCGCGTCGATAGTTTCGATATGTAACAAATGGAGCAGACCATACTATAAGCCTACTACACGGAGCTGGCTGAGCGCAGAAACCCTCCGCCCATCGATCGACGCCGCATCGTTAAAAGAGTTTTCGACAGTTTTTCGCTTCCTGCTGATCAGCCACAACCATCAGCCTTCGGAACGCACAGTTTTACCTTTCATTCGTTGAAGTGTCAACAAACAAGCAATAACCGTCATTTGCAATGAATTGTCAAAAGTCGGAGATAAATCTCAAGGAACAGAAACATACACCGCCCAGGCCGAGCAGGTCGCGTGGGTGGAAACCTTCTTGGGCCCCCCGCCACTATAGATATTTTGACGGACCTTGTGTCTTTGTGGTCTGGTATGAAGAACCCCTCGTAGAAGGGTTGAATCGGATTCAGCGCACGTCCCACCCACACAACATTCTCACCGACTCCGATAGACACACGAAAAGATCGACGCCCGCACACCAACTAGTAGGAGCCCCCCACACCCCCCACCCACCTCTCCTACGCGACGAACGGCCAAAAACAAGGGGCGATTTCCTCTAGCGTCGTCCTCTAGGCTGTGTGTGGTTTGCACGCGAAATTCTTCTCATCTTCCATAATAGAGTATCAGTCAGCAGTACGGGAAAAGGGTACCCGAGACCTGGAATGGGTCCGTACGTCCGCCCTGCGCGCTAAGCCGCTAAATAGTCATACTTTTCAATGGAGATTAATTGAATGAGTCTGCATGTTCGGACCTATGCGCATAAATCTTTGGCATTTTGTACACCCCTCGGCCTCCCCAGCCGCTATCGCAACTTCACATACTAGCCCAGCGCCAAGATTGTAATTATTAATCACTCTCGGATCAGCAACCCACCCCATTACACATGGCTAACGTTTCGGCCGTTGTGCGCCGTCGTGCAGCACCTGGAAGTCTAGGTTAAAGCTAAGTGCGCAACCCTCACGACGCCGCAACACAACAAAATTTCCGAATTTCCAGCAGCAAAATTCTTTATAGAACCCACTACCCAGGCAGATAGGAGGGGCCCAATGACATCAAGTTAGCGGAAAAGAGGAGGCTACAGCACGGTTGACTCACGTTCTCTTCATTACACGACAGGTTATTGCTTTAGACCGCACGCCATTCTGAACGGCGAACAATATGCGTGCTCGCAGGTATGGGCACCTGACCCCCCGACATGAAGCCGTGGCGATCGATAGCCCGCAGCAGAGTCACAGAACGGTGCAGTCATTAGTCATGGTCGACACAGAGAGGTCGTGGAGGCCAGCATTTCGTCTTACATGTTCAGTTAGTGACTTTTGCGCGCTAATGTCAAAGAATGCTTCCAGAGTCTCTGTCTGCTGGGGTCTGATTCGGTCACCAAATTCTTCTGGAGGCACTCGCAGTCAGTTGGCTTATTTTGAGTTAATTTCTTCCAGGCTCTGACTACGGCGACACGGCCCCGAACGTTAGCCAGTAAAGTGATTATATCATCTTAATTGAATTAATTTGTTGAGTTTGTGGAGAACTTGATAATAAAGGGAACTCAGCATTATCTCCCCGTTCTACTCACAAATTAGCCTACTAAGGAAGCTTGATTTGTTAGCGCATCATGCCACTGTTCGGTTCCGAGCCAATATAAGTTTGACATCGATAACCATGCATAAGGGGCTACACAACAGCGTGCCATCACTAGAACCATCCAAATGCAATTCATGACCAGACGACTGATAGATGGCCTCGTAGAGCTCATGAGCCATGCGTTCATTGATATCTATAAAAACAATACACGTCTTCGTGAACTGTGTTCTGAAAGAGCAATAGGCTATTGGAAAAAGAGAGCAGATAGTCATCCGTGTGGTAAAAGACCGCCCATACCAATCAGGCGAAAGTTAAGACTCCACGCGGCAGGAGCCGTCGCGCGGCGAAGGCAGAGACGCAGACGGGGTCAGCGGACGAGTAGCAGCGTACTGTAGCTATTTACCGTCAGTTCAAATAGAATGTTCCATACAAAATCCCACATCGCGCAATACGCGCTGCGCCTCGTCCGCTGAATCGCCTACGTTGCCGTCTTCCTGGCACGCGACGGGCCTTCTGCAGGGTATCCAAATATCTGGAGTTTCAATATGCAAATTCAGTTTTTGGCTGATAAGCGTCAAATCACGTACTTGCTGTGTGGTTCAGAACACCATCCTCGTCGCACGGGAAATTCATTTTGAACCAAGATAACGCCATCGTGATACGGTAGTCTCGTCGAACGTCCATCACAAACTTCAAACAGAAACAGTTTATTGTGAAGTGGTTGATGAAAAAACAGAGTTGGGTCTAATCCAATAAGTGGGGGGGGGGGATGGGAATGTGGTGCGATAACTGCTAAAAATGTTTTGTCTTCTCTTCAATTCCTATTTACACTTTCACTTCCAGAATTCTGCACCTTGAATAATCCCCAACGAGATGTAGTTCACTGTAAATTTGCAGTGCTTTTAGGGTCTACCTACTAGTTTTACGCCCTGAAATTTTCAGGCATATCGCAAGATAATCATTACCCAAAGGCATCATGCACGAAAACGATGGCACAACATCTTTACCAAAAAAATTAGCACCTCAAGCCCCTTGCTCGATGAAATTATGGACCCGAACGACGGAAAACTAGCGACCGTTGTTGTAATAGTCTTAACCTTTATTGTAGTTTGGTAAGATTGCGCAGTCTCCAAGCCCATGTCAATTTGAAAGTTTATACTCTTTGAGATTTCAAACACCTACTACCAAAAATAGAGCACAAAAATAGACATACACCAACATAGGAATGTTCCTATTCCTTTAATCCCTTTTTCAGTTGATTTTTAGGAACACTTTGTGTTCTCACAAGAATGCTGGGCAAAACTTCCGCCTCAGACGGGACTCGAACCCGCACCTCGTGCCTACCAAGAGCAAGAGGTTGAAGCGTCTGGGGCGAAAGTTTTGTTCACAACCCAGCATTCTTGTGAAACATTCGCAAGGCGAACTGCGGCCAAAAACAGCAGTTAACAAACAAAAACTTTGTGTTATATTCTTGGTAAAAACTTTTGGAACCTCGAAAGAGTATCAATACATTTTAATTATTGATTGCCATTTTTCGACCCCGGCCAAGCTCCACGATCAGGCGGCTCGCCGGTTCCATCCAGGAAGTAGTAGGCAGGTGGACAAGTGTTGATGTTCGCGCCCATCTTTTGCGGCTTTAAAGGCAGCGGTTACGCTAGGTTTGAATGGGGTTTAGAGGGGACGAGGGGGTCCTCAATGGTACGTCAGTGGCGAAAGAAGCAGCGAAATCGGTCCAGGAAACGAGAAATGGGACCCCCTTTTGGGCCGTTTATTGCGGCTCTCAGATGGACTGCGGCGAAGACCGCGCACGCGTGGACGAGATTGCGCAACGCGTGCTGGGCAGCGAAACAGCAGGCATGGCGCCCTAACCGCGCTGCGGCTGGCAACACGGCTCGCCCAAGCCACCGATGAATCATGGGGCGGGGCGGCGCATGGGGCGGAAGGGCGCAATGGTCCTGCTCAGCAACCACAGCACTGTTCGCAGTGCAAGCGCCACACATCGCTTCCTTGGCGGCCTGCTAGTTGCTCTGTGGGGAGCAGGTTCTCCGCAGATGTGAAAATTCCTTTTCCGTACCCACACTTCCTTTAAAAGTAACCGCGACAAAAGGCGCAAGGAGCTCGTCCAACCCGCAACTCACACCTTCGTCCGCAAGCCCCACCCTTCGCTGTCGGTTGCCACGTGGCGCTGCTTGAAAAGCGCGGGCGCATTTGAGGCAGTGGTCCCAGCGCGATCCAATGTTATTGACACTGGAGCAAGTAGAGTTAGGTTCGTGAAACTCGTCCAATTCGCCTCTTCTCTATCCCAAGGTGGAATGTACTGGGGGGCGTAATCGGTGGTTTCGTTTGCTTTCCTTCTCTTTACAGACCACCTCCCACCTATAGCTTCATAACTGAACGCTTTTCCACACCTATTTTATCCCGAATCTTGCCTTTAAAGGGCGGGAGGCGGGAGAATTCCCCGGTGCACGTGAACTTTCTCATTTCCGTTTCCACGCTTAACTTCATCTGCAAAAATCAATATCTGTGCGAGCTGCAGAACTGTTGCAAGTGCTACATGGCCCACCCCGTAATGGAATAGACCCATCAGGTCTAAAGACGGTGTTTTTCTTAATTGCTGCCCAAGGTTTTTGTGATCCCGGTGGCAGTTTCCTCGACCACCTTCATCCTTAAAAAAGAGTGCATAGGTACCTGAAGGATCTCAGCCACCGTGAGTTTCGTTTTCACCAGCAGCTGCCGACTTTCTTCTTTGGCTTTCGAAGCGTCCTCGATATTGACCTTGTCCGACGGCTTTATGACACCGTCAACATTTTTCCTTCCTGCCAGTACCGATCATAGACTGGGTGACTCGGTGGAATCATTGTCATACCATGCGACATAGTACGAGCTGGAAAAGCATAGTAAATGAGCTGCATGTCCCAAAAATCGAGCACGAATCAATACACTCACTTGTTTGAGCACCGTGAGGGCTGTTATCGACGATGTTCAGAAGATTTTTCGTGAGTGTGAGCAAATTGTCAAAGGTGTAGTAACCAATTGAGTAGTGCTTTCGCAGCTTTACCATCTGAATAAACAACAGGACGTATGAGCTCAAAGAGCTGCCATATGACGAGTTCTCCATCTCTCGGACGAGTTCTCTACCTACCTCGTAAGTGAGCTTATTACGAGCAACACTTGCAGCGTCTTTATGCAGCACTGGACCAGACGGATAGTCGTCTCTCAATGAACTGAGGTAGTTTTCCACTGTATTCAACACCTTCAAATATAACTGTGGTCACTTAAAAATTCGTACGAAACTTGACTAGAGTGTTTGCGAGGCACAGACGCGAGCGGTTGCATTGCGTGTGCTTCGCTTTTGATCTGGAGGACGAGATTGGGCCCCTCAAAGAAAAATTTGGCACGGGTAAACGCTCACTGCTACCTACTTTTTGTTAGTGGAAACAAATTGCACCTCAAAAAGTCAAATTTGAGAAAATAAAAGAAACTTCACGCTCATACGCCACGGATCCGCACGCCTAAGAGTCCCGTTTTGAAGTTTTTGGCAGCCGCCTCGTTTTGCGCTAAATTCCAGACAGAAGGTGAGCCCACATAATTAACACAAATATTTTGTTGCATCACATCGGCTCCGCGACGCAACCGCACGCATCGGTCATTGTGCTCTACTACGGTGTGGATTGTAAATATAATAATATGCCATTACTTGAAAAAATTCAACATACATCAGTAGCAAACTGGTCTCCAACCCGAGATCGACCGCCATCACCGTAGCCTTCGACAGAGACGGTTTTGTACCTGAAAGTCTATTCCATCAAAATTCTTCCCTTTTTCTTCAGGATATTGATTCACTCACGACTTCACTTTGACCTCGCTGGTTATGTCCGTCCAGAGACGAGCGTGGCGGATTGCGCTCAGCGGACTTCCACGGACAACATGCAGATGCAACATGAGACGAGCAAACGATGCACGTACCTCACATGGCAGACCGGGTGTCCGACATGCATCTAAAAAGGGTGGGTCCCGTACGGAAATCATGTAATAATACTCAGAAGCAATACTTTAGAACGAGCTCAGCTGGTAGCTGTTGGGAGATATTCAACAGCTTGCGTTCCGGTGGCGGATCTATGGCCAGATATTGTTGTTCCTGACACATTTGTGCCAATAGGTCCAATTGGTGCCTGAAAACGAAGTTGCTTTGAGGTTACTGTCCCAAATGTCACGCATAAATCAATAACATGCATAGTCTGAAATATGAGAGATTTCATTTTGAAGAATACTTGAAGAGAGGCGATGAACTACTTTGAAAATATTCGAAGGTGTTTACTTCTGCGCTTGAGCCTTGCTCGAGAATGATAGTGAAGATGTTAAGGGATCGCAATGGAGAGGAAGAAAAGGAAAGGAAAGTGCCGAACGATAGGACTCTGATTGCTAGGTGAAGATGACACAAAAAGTGGAACGGGCAACAAGTTAAACAAAGCACATAGAGAAGCCCAAGAGATCGCCAGACGTCAAGCCGCATCAACCACTAACATGCGAAAGAAGCAGGAAGCGGGCATCTGCGTAACAATTATGCCCTGTTGTACTTGGCATGTGCAGCTCGAGCTTGCGCAAGACGGCACTTATTCTTTCCTTTTAATAGCTCTATTCCCTCTACGGTAAGACCCAACTCATTTGACTCAACCGGAGAACAAGCCTTTAGGGGTCAAACTGATATATGGAGCTCCCATATATGCTCATCATTCATGCCAAAATTAGGGCCCCGAATCCAGCAGTGCCCATAGTTCCTTCAGGGGTTGTTTGATGGAAGCCAGCCTTGAACGATCGGCTCCATCGGCTACCATGTAATGCGCTTAGAAAATAGTGAGATGCTAGGAAGTTTCCAACTGAAAAGGTCGAACTTTGAGCGCTATTCCAATGAAACATTCGGCCACGTTGGGTGAACAGTTTCGGTCCAAAAATTACCTGTAGTAATCCAAGAACTCAGCGTCGGTGGTGTTCTTCCTTGAGCTCTCAGCAAGTTCGACTAGTTTTTGCAACGGTTGACCCAACCATCCGATGTAAACCTCGTCATCAATCTGAACAATAGAGAAATGGGCAGCCGGGAAGACTATAAGATTTTTGTCTTCAATGGAGTCATCAAAAAGGCTATCACTGGATATTCCTTCCATACTGACCAGCTTTGTCTCCATAAGTATATCACGATGCTTCTCACTAAGTACTGAGTTACATATCAACTCCTGGACCTTTTTGTTCGCCTCACCACGACATACGCATAGATCTGCTAGATAAGTCAAGAAACCTGAAATTCATAGAAATATGAACAGCAAAAAAACGTGGTTGGCGTGTCTTCTCTGGTTTTCCCCACAAGAGCAAACAGCTATTCAATGTCACTCCGATCAGGGATCGCATGCATTGCCTACCAGTGCCGCATAACCCTCGGCGCTGCCCGTACGGCTTGTGGCACTACCAGATAGTCGCAAGGTTACAATGCTGGTAACTCAAGCAAGCCAATATCGAAGTCACCTTGTGCTCACTCAGGAAGGCGCGACCGTATCAAATCTTTCCTGAGAGTGATCAATGCATCATCCTTAATCACTTAACTCGTACCGTGACTCATTCAAAGGTTCAACTTACAGCTTCTATGTTGCGGTACTTCTAGCAATCGGTCGTCAACTGTCTGTTGCGCAAAAATCTATACTAGGGCAGGGTGAATAACGGTCGAGGAATTCCTCGACCATGGCTCTCTACCGTGCGAGAGTAGTGTCGAGAGTGAATGAATGCGCGGAGAGCACAGACGGCTCGCAGCTGGCGAGAGTGAGCATCCGCGTGGGAGAGCGTGAAAGAATCCTCGACGAGCCGTTGTCTTTTCCTCAAGCGATTTTCACCCTGCTAGGCGGTCGTGCATTTGTGATTTTGCAAAGAGGGGAGGGTGCATTAAGCGTTGTAAGTTTAGCTCTGTTCTTGAGTATCTCAAGGAAAAAGTGCGAACAGGGTCCGTGGAGAGCACGAGTTTTTGCAATCTGATTCCGTCGAAAGAACCGTGAACTATACAAAAAGCTACATTTGCCACTTCACATTACCTCCTTCGCTCAAGGGCCGTTTTGAACGAGGAAGTGGCAGAGTGGCTGTGTCGACTGGTTTTGAGTCAAACGCTATATAAAAGAACCATGGGTGGCAAGTGAGGTAGGGGAGAGGATTCGCACGCGAGGCCTCCTGAGAGTGGTAATCGTGAGGAGGGTCGCATCGAGCCCCACTGAGCCCCACTGGGAGGTCGCAAAAATTTCGGAAAGTGTGAACACGAAACGCGACGATTGACCTTCCACAATTCATTATTGGACAAATCGCATTCAAATATAACTACGCTACGAAGTGAATCCATGGCGCATCCTATGAAAGATCGAAACACCATATGCTTTGATTTTCCTCCTTCAACTGGGCACTGCACAGTCCACATCACAATCACTACACAATATTCGCTTACCGCAAAGAGATCAAAGATTTACCGCATTCCTTTCCAAAACGCTGAAAACACTCTACAGAAAAAACCTTAAAATATATTTCCAAAAATGATAGCTTGGTATTGCTCATACTTTCCTAGTCGATTATTCCGTACAAGTTCGACGAATCGCTCGACATGCGGCGTTTTCACGTATTTCTCCAACAGTTTCGGATTATTATGCAGCACAGCCGTCATTGTATCTTCAGCGAGAAGATCGAATCCGATTTGTTCCTGGAATGTTCGTCATTACCTTACTGTACCAGATCAGCTGCCATGGCGGTTGAATATGGTCAGCCGCGCCAAAAGCACCACTGCACCTGAGCCCAGGGTGAACCGTTTGTTGTTCCAAGTCCAGAAATTTTACGACCCTACTCGATATGACCCCTCTCCACCACCATAATCCTTATAGAAGTGCCTCAATCGCGATCCCCTTCCCCGGACCACCGATCCCACCATCATGGCTGCTTGTTTAGCACTTGAAATTCGACTTCGACCACTTCATGCTTACTTGTTCCCATTTCCACCAGAATTATCAGAACGGCCCCATCACCAATACAATCCATCCAACTTCCAGTACGATCCCCCTCTCCCTTTACGACCTAACCGTCGTAAAAATCAATCCTTAATACGACCATTCCCTCTAAGGAAGCTCAAACATTCTTTTTATTAGATGACCGCTGTTTTACGTCAAATAGACCCCTCCTGTAGAAAACTATGCAGAGCACGGTTGACCACGATCTAGGTTTCCCAACGCCATCAGGCGATGCCACAACTACACCTCAAGTATACATTTGTGAATTTACAACTATCGGAATCACGCGCGTGAAATCGATATCCATTACTCAGCACACATTTTGACAAGTATGACCGATGCATGAGTGTAGGCCAATTGCCAGGTGCCAATAGTAGTGGGAGGGATTAGGACAGCTCAAAACTGTGTTCAGAAATGCAATGATCACGACGTTACGCCGCTGCTTACCTGGATTTGTCCGAATTTTTCGGCCAAAAACTCCTGATTCTTCCGGTAGCTGACTTGTGCATACCTGAAGATTGTATTTCACCGATTCGAACGATTTAGGATAAATTGCAAAGGTAAATGTAAAGGGTTACAGCTGAGGTTAGGCTTCACGAAGGCTAAGATTTTAACCAAAAGACGTATAACACACTGAAACATCGTCTTGAACACTTCGTTTCGTGCTTCGCTAAGCTCCGATGGAGAACTGAGCAACGGTCCGATTTCGGTAAGACCTTGCCGAGGCATAAAAGGCGCTTTCAGCAATTGGAACACCTGACCAAATAAATTTTCACAGTGGCTCACAAAAGTTGCTGGGAAGTTGTTTTCTCTTATTGATAGGGGAGGAATTAGTACTTTTTATAGATTTTCAGCAGAGAAATATTCGTTTTCTCAACCTCTCAGCAGTGCGGAGTTGCGGCGATTTGCGTATCGAATCAAGCGTCAGTATCTGAGATATCAGCGAAATGTGGGGGCGAGGGGCTTTCAAAGACGTGGGTTTGCCATAGATTGATGAAATTCAATCAACCCTTTGGCGCTGCGAGATAGCAACTGAAACGGCGACTGAATATGGTAAGATGGAAAAACAGTAGTCCTATTTGAAGAAGGGTGAATATTGCTTGAGGGTTCTCAACGGGCACGTCGAGGATTTTCGCTCTCTTTGTTCTCGCGGCTGGATAGTCACTCTCAACCGCGAGCCGTTGATGGCTCTCGCGGGGCACGCACACGGCTTACTCTCGCACCAGCAGGAGGCACATGGTCGAGAATTCCCTTGACCGTTATTACCACTGAATTATGGATATCACTCGGGAGAGCACAACCATCACCAGGTTTCTTCGCCGTGCTGCGGTGAATCCACGAAAGTCATTATGAAAATGAGGGTCTAATTAGGGTCCCTGATGTCTTATATGTTACGGTTTCACGTGAAACCACATCCTAACTTTGACGGCAATATTCGATTGTGAATGGCTTTCAATCATTGTCGGGTTAAGATCGTGACGACAGAATAAGCTCATGCTGCAGCCGAGAGGATGCTACGCAAGTTCAGAGCTTTCGACTGCCGAACTGCAGAGTCAACACAGTTATGGTTTCGAAGGTGAAAATGAATAGGGCGGTAAAGAAGACATTGTAGACGTCAGGCAATACTGCCATAGCAGTTGGTCCTCTCGCAGAAGTTCCGAAAACGCACCTGATCAAGGACTTCCTGTTCTCGAAGCAATTTCTGTCGATCTCTGGATGGTGTGAAATCATTGATTTGCAATGGGTCCATCATGTGATTTTTGGTATTCGTAACGAAGTAGATACACTCGGTGAGCAGTTGAATAGTAACACTGAAAATAATGGGGGAAATGATGACCAGATCAATAACTAAATATATGTTTCTCATTATGAATGCTTCCGTTGAGCGGAAAAAGGGAGAAATACGAGAAAGATCGCTATTCTATTCCCAATGGCCTTAAGAGCTTTTCCATCATAGGGTTCAAAACAGGGCCCGATATACATACATGTGTAGAGAGAAAGAAAGCGGTCTTCGGTTCCTTGCGAACTGTCCTATGTGTGGAGCTGTAGCTGGGTTATGGGCTATATCATAAAGCTAGCGTGAGAGCATATCGAATAATACTGAATTTGCATCGCGTCGCTTTTTCCCAATACTTCGTTTTTTGGCCGTAAATCGTTTCAGCTCCGTAACCTTACCGAACTTCAAAATGTAGAGTGGCCACAAAATACGGTAACAAGACCCGCCGCAGGCATATTGAAACTAACCGGGTAATTAGTACTGTAGATTATAGAGCATCATAAATCCTCTCATGTGAAAGCCCACAAGTCCAGAAGGGTCAAAATCCTGAGTGCCTGTCAGGGATGACTAGCCGTTTATCACTAACACGTCGCTGTGAATGGGCTTCCCGGACTACTTCGCTCCTTACTCAGCGCAGGCGTCGGCTAATTTGAGAAGTGACCTTGTTTCAAATTGTTAAGGTCAGGAGGGTCCTTAAGCAAGTGACCTTGGGGCTTCACCTATTTAAGCCGCATTACTGTCAGCTCAGGGTGGCAGGTGGACCTCATTGGTCGACTTTTCTAAAGGTTAGTTGTCTTTTTCTGTCCCACGACCTCGCATAATAGTTTACGGGTCTCATCCGGTAAGAGGGGGCATTGCGGTGCACGGTCTGCTCTAATGCCAATTTGGCTCAAGGAGTCCTTTAAAGTTACGAGCTGCTATCAGCTTTTTTCCTATGTTATTTCTTCAGGTGTTTTGTGTAATGTATGTATTCTTGTACTAGATGACATTAACGGAA